TAAAGACATGCTACTGCAAAAATCTACTGAAAATCCAGGCATCCTTCATGTTCCCAATGCCAACGTATGAGGAAAAGTGGGGGCTGGGTAGGCATAAAATAGGCTTTTTGAATAGGAATTTATTTATCAGAGACTTTGTTAACAAAAATATGCCTGTAATTTCTTTGTTATTTGTTGTTGTTTTTTAAACAGAGGCATTTTTAAATTGATTTCACTTCTGTTGAGGCCTTAAGAGTCTATGCTGAACACCTGGAAATCCAAAATACTTCCAAACTCTAAAATTTTCCACATGGCTGGCTTTGCTTTCTAGTGGTTCAGTGTCCACACACTTTGTTCCATGCAGATATCAAAACATCATGTATTAAGAATTACCTTGAGGTTATGTACATACATATATATGAAACAGAAATCAATTTCTTAGGTATCACCTCCAAGTTACATAAAAATGTTCAAAATCTGGAATAAAAAAATCTAGAATCCAGTTCTAAACATATTACATAATTTGAGAAATAATTCACATTTTATTGCAATATTACTTAAAAGCACACACAAAACAAATGGGTTTTTTTTTTGTATTCTAGGCCAGCAACCTATTTTTTTAGGTAGTGGTAGAGTAAGTATGTGTGCATAATGTATATATACATTGTCCTCCAACAGTGTATACACTCTTTAACAGATGGTTGCAGATATGGTGATTATTTGAAGGTAAAGTATGCATAAAAACACTTGTATCAAATAAGAACAGTAATAATAATCATAAATATTATTTCTTGCCCAACATTTCTCATGGATGGAGGTAGGGATATAATAGAAATACAACATATACAATTGGTTTAGAACACATATACACTCAACATGAAAAAAGTAAAGAATTTAAAATTCATAATTTAACTCCATCTGGATAAGCCTTTTTTTGGGTTCAGACAGAGTATCCAGCTGTCGAATCTCTTTTGGCAGGTCATTCGACAATCCGGGGGTGGCTAAAGAAAAAATCCTCCTGATGAATCATTATTTAATTTGTTTCAAAACTAAATGTCATCATAACGAATTCCAGCTTAAATGACAATTTGTGTTGAAACTGTACGCGGTTATGAATGCATCTACATTAGGGCTTTCTAGACGGTGTGTTGCAACATGTTAGTATGTCACCTGCAGTGTGTCGTATGTACATCACAAGATACCTCTGATTCTGTGCTAAATAAGCAACACCACTGAAATGTGTAGGCTTAAAAATGCTTGATAATGAAATGTAAGTATCACTATTTAATATTCCACTAAATATTCATCCCATCAACCTCATACGTCTCATTAAGATGGGATGTAATTACTTTATTAGTGTTCAACTTGACAGAAAATGTGGAAGACTAATGTTACGTATGACTACAGCAGGGAGAATAATCTATGATCAAAGATAGAATTACCTTGATGAAAAAACTAGCAGAATTTTCTAAAATCAGTGTCCTCAAGAACCCCAGAAACAGGCCTCAAAACCAAGAATATAACTATTATATATATATAATATTCAGGCATGGGCAAACTTCGGCCCTCCCTCCAGGTGTTTTGGACTTCAACTCCCACAACTCCTTACAGCCAATGGCTGAAGTTTGCCCATGCGTGATATATATATATAGCGTATAATGCTTATGTGTGTGTATTATATTAAACAGCAAGAATTATGGTATAATGTTGTATTAATTCTATAGTATTATTACACATTATAATGGCGATATACATTTATTATTTTTATATTTATTATAATTATAATATTTATTATAACATAATGAGTATATACTATAATAACAATATGTTATTATAATATCATAATTATTATGTATTAAAATTATCATATTAGACATTATATTAGATATTACTATTATAACAAGTGTGATGTAAATAAAAGGATTGTGATTATTCTAAATAATAATATTATTATATATTATTATAACAAGCATGTTATAAACCAATGGATCGTGATTGTTATTACAATAACTCATTAAACAGCAAGAATTATGATATATTATATTAATTATATAGTATTATTACACATTATAATGGCGATATACATTTATTATTTTTATATTTATTATAATTATAATATTTATTATAACGTAATGAGTATATACTATAACAATATAATGTTATTATAATATATTATGTATTAAAATTATTATATTAGATATTATTATTATAACAAGTGTGATATAAATAAAAGGGTTGTGATTATTCTACATAATAATATTATATTTTATTATAACAAGGAGTATATAAATAAACGGATCATGATTGTTATTACAATAACAACTCATTAAACAGCAAGAATTATGATATAATATTATATTAATTATATATTATTATTACACATTATAATTATGATATATTTATTATTTTTATATTATAATTATAATATTTATTATATTGTAATATGAGTATATACTTTAATAATATATTGTTGTTATTATAATTGCATGATTATATCTTATGATTATTAGACATTATATTATTACACATTATAATGATATATATTTATTATTTTTATATTTATTATAATATTTATTATAACCTAATATGAGTATATACTATAATAATATTATAATAACTGCATAATGATTATATCTTATGATTATTAAATATTATATTATTGCACATTATAATTATATATTTTTATTATTTTTATAACATTCATTATAATATTTATTATAATGTAATATCAGTAAATACAGTATATTATTAGTATTATTATTATACCATAACTATTAGATATAACAATTATTATATTAGATATTATATTAGATATTATATTATAATTGTTATATCTAAGTTATGATATAATAATAATATATTGTATTTACTCATATTACACTATAATAAATAATATATTGTTTTTATAATGATTGCATAATGATTATATCTTATGATTATTAGATATTGTATTATAATGTGTTTTATATTATATTTATATTATACTTGTTATAATAATATATAATATAATATCTAATACAATAATTGTAATATCTAATAATTTTGATATTAAAATAATAACTATATATTAGTGTTTACTCATATTATATTATAATGATTATAAAAATAATAAATAAGTATCATCATTATAATGTGTAATAATACTATATAATTAATATATCATAATTCTTGCTGTTTAATGAGTTGTTATTGTAATAACAATCATGACCTGTTTATTTATATCCTGCTTGTTATAAGAATATATGATAATATGATTATTATGTTGAATAATCACAATCCTTTGATTTATATCACACTTGTTATAATAATATATATAATGTAATACCTAATATAATAATTGTTATATCTAATAGTAATGATTATATATATATTTATTGTATGTACTCATATTACATTATAATAAATATAATACATATATTACAATTATTATATTAGATATTATATTATATATTGTTATTATAACAAGTGGGATATAATATTAATACACATTATAATGACGATATATTTTTATTATAATGTAATATGAGTAAATACAATATATATATATATATATATATATATATATAATCATTACTATTAGATATAACAATTATTATATCAGGTATTATATTATATGTATTATTATTATAAAAAGTGGGATATAAATAAAGGGATTATTATGTCATAACTATTAGATATAACAGTTATTATATTAGATATATTATAATTGTTATATCTAATAGCTATGATATAATAACAATATAATAATATATTGTATACAATATATTATTATTATGGTGTCATAACTATTAGATATAACAATTATAATATAATAGTTATATCTAATAGTTATGATATAATAATATATTGTATTATGAGTAAATACAATATATATTATAATATGAGTAAATACAATATATTATTATTATATCATAACTATTAGATATAACAATTATTATATTATAATTTTTATATCTAATAGTTATGACACCATAATAATAATAATAATATATTGTATAAAATATATTATTCTATTGTTATTATTATATCATAACTATTAGATATAACAACAATAGAATAATATATTGTATACAATATATTATTATTATGGTGTCATAACTATTAGATATAAAAATTATAATATAATAATTGTTATATCTAATAGTTATGATATAATAATAATACATTGTATTTACTCATATTACACTACAATAAATATTATAATAATGAATGTTATAAAAACAATAAATATATATTATTATAATGTGTGAACATTGTTATAACAAATGGGATATAAATAAAGGGATTGTGATTATTCAATTCAATGATTATATCTTGTGATTATTAGAAGTTATATTATATATTGTTACTATTACAACAAGTGGGATATATATATTATACTATCATAAGTATTAGATATAACAATTAGTATATTAGATATTATATTATACATTTTATTATAATGTAATATGAGCAAATACTATAATAATAGATTAGTATAATAATATCATAATTTTACATCTTATGATTATTAGATATTATATCATATATTGTTACTATTATAACAAGTGGGATATAAAGGAACCTAAATAATAATAATAATAATAATAACAACAATTGGGATATAAGTAAAAGGATTGTGATTATTCCACATAATAATAATGTTTGATATAAATATTATTATTATTTATTATAATTAAATATGAGTAAATACTATAATAATAGATTGTTATTATAATAATATAATGATTATATCTTGTGATTATTAGGTATTATATTATGTATTGTCACTATTATAACAAGTGGGATATAAATAAAGGGATCTAAATACTAATAATAACAATTGGGATATAAATCAAAGGATTGTGATTATTCCACATAATATGTTTGATATTATTATTATTATTATTAAATAGAGGGGTTGTGATTCGTGTGCTGGTTCCTAAGGAGGCGCCTGGGCCTAGCGTGCTGCTTGAGGCCTTCTTGTTGGGCCTGGCCTGCTGGGAAGCCTGATTGCGGTGAGGGAAGCGAGGCTTGCCTACCTGCCCGGGCCGCCCGCACCCCGCGGGGCCGCTCTCCGCTTTCCTCCGCCCGCCGCTGGCTCGCTTCCTCGTCTCCCTCGGCCGCCTCCTCCTCCTCCTCAGCCACGACGCCGATTTCTCCTCAGCGCCTCGCTCTTTCGGCCACGCACGCCCCGCCTCCCCCTACCCCTCGCGCCATTGGCCCACGCGGGCGCCACTCAGGCCGACGCCGACTCCACCTCTCGCGCCATTGGTCAGGGAGGACGCCACTCCTGCCCGCTCCCGCCTCCCCTCCCACCATTGGTCGACTCAGCCCCGATCCCGCCCACAACCCTCAAAGAAACAAACGGCCAAGGCTCCGTTGACTTATGTCTTCTGCCTCTCGCGCCATTGGTCGGAAGAGACGCCACTCCTCCGGCTCCGCCCTCCCCATTGGTTCCTCCTCGTCACCGCCTCCCAAATGTGAGCAGCCTCTCTCCTTCCCACCCTCTAGATTTCTTCTTGTCCATTGGCTGCCTTGACTCGACGTCGATCCACTTTATCTACATCCCATTGGTCCGTTGCTCCATCCGTCTTCGAGGCTCCTCCAATGAGTTTTATGGACCGCCCATTGAGATACCGTCGCTGATTGGGCTAGACTTTGCCCGCCTACGCTTTATCTATATCCCATTGGCCCGTTGCTCCATCCGTCTCCGAGGCTCCTCCAATGACTTTTATGGACCGCCCATTGAGATGCCATCGCTGATAGGGCTAGACTTTGCCCGCGTGGACTTTATCTATACTTCATTGGTCCGTTGCTCCATCCGTCTTCGAGGCTCCTCCAATGACTTTTATGGACCGCCAATTGAGAGGCCATCGCTGATAGGACTAGACTATGCACGCCTGGGCTTTATCTATATCCCATTGGTCCGTTGCTCCATCCGTCTCCGAGGCTCCTCCAATGAGTTTGATGGACCGCCCATTGAAATGTCTTTCTTTCCATCTTTTAAGAGCGTCGCTGATTGGACTAGATTTTGCCCGCGTGGGCTTTATCTACACCCCATTGGTCCGTTGCTCCATCCGTCTCCGAGGCTCCTCCAATGAGTTTGATGGACCGCCCATTGAGAGGCCTTTCTTTCCTTCTTTTAAGAGCGTTGCTGGTTGGCCTAGACTGTGCCCACGTGGGGTGGATGAGAGACGTCCATTGGCCAGCGGATGCACCAACTGATTCACAGATTGAGAGAGTTGGAAGAGAGTATTCGATTGGCTGCCCTCAAGGCCGCGGACGATGTTTTGTCCAATCGGGTATCGACTTCTGCGCAGGCGTTTTGAGGAGGGGAGAATCTGAGGAAACATAGCTCTGTGGCGAAAACGGGCTCTGCGCCTGCGCACTGGTCTCCGTGGGAGGCACCGCGCATGCGCGATAACGGTCGGCTCGGAATTGTCTGTCGTGAGGTAAAATGGCGGCATGCTGAGGAGAGCATTTCTCTTTGTGTAAGTAAACATTATATTACTTTCATTTGATTTAGATACATCTATAAAACATATTTATGCATCGATTTATACACATATTTAACTTTAATACACATATTTAATTTATATTTAATTAATATAAATTAATTATATTTAATTATAATTAACTATAATTATATAATTGATGTATATAATTTATACATTTATATATTTTAATTATAATTAAATAATTATAGTTATATAATTAATTTATATAATTTATATAATTTATATAAATATAATTAAATTAATTATAATTAAATATAATTAAATATAAATTAAATTAATTATATTTAATTTATATTTAATATAAATACACATATTTATAAAGCGCATTCTTTTATGCATTCTTTTATTCTTTTAATACACATATTTAATTTATATTTAATTTTAATTATTTTAATTAATATTATTTTATTATTAATTTAATTAATAATTATCATATTTCTTACTCCTTATTTTTTTCTATGTATTTATAAAGCACATTCTTCCATGCATTCTTTTATTTTAGTACACATATTTAATTTTAATTAATATTATTTTATTTTGTAATTTAATTAATAATTATCATATTTCTTACTCCTTATTTGTTTTGTATGTATTTATTAAGCACATTCTTTTATGCATTCTTTTATTCTTTTAATACACATATTTAATTTATATTTAATTTTACTTAATTTTAATTAATATTATTTTATTAGTAATTTAACCAGTAATTATATATGTTACACCTTATTTGTTTTCTATGTATTTATAAAGCACCTTCTTTCATGCATTCTTTTATTCTTTTAATACATATATTTAATTTGAATTAATATTATTTAATTAGTAATTTAATCAATAATTATCATATATGTTACACCTTATTTGTTTTCTATGTATTTATAAAGCACATTCTTTCATGCATTCTTTTATTCTTTTAATAGACATGTTTAATTTATATTTAATTTTAATTAATTTTAATTAATATTATTTTATTAGTAATTTAATCAATAATTATCATATATGTTACACCTTATTTGTTTTCTATGTATTTATAAAGCACATTCTTTTATGCATTCTTTTATTCTTTTAACACACATATTTAATTTGAATTAATATTATTTTATTAGTAATTTAGTTAATAATTATCATATTTGTTACACCTTATTTGATTTCTATGTATTTATAAAGCACATTCTTTTATGCATTCTTATTCATTTCATACAAATATTTAATTTGAATTAATATTGTTTTATTAGTAATTTAATCAATAATCATCATATATGTTACACCATATTTGTTTTCTATGTATTTATAAAGCACATTCTTTCATCCATTCTGTTATTCTTTTAATACACATATTTAATTTGAATTCATATTATTTTATTAGTAATTTAATTAATAGTTATATGTTGCAACTTATTTGTTTTCTATGTATTTGTAAAGCACTTTCTTTTATTCAGTTTACATATATTACACTTGTTTTCTATGTATCATCTATCTATACATCTATCTCTACATATAATATCTTATCTATACACATCTATTCTATCTATCCATATATATACATATATCTGCTTATATACATTAGATTTATTCTTATAAAATATATTAATATTCATTAATAATTAATTATTAATCTTTAATACACATTTTATTTAATTTATCTAATTAATATTATTTTCTTATTAATTTGATTAATTAATACGCGGGTTGAATGAAAAGTAATGCCTCCACCTTCGTAACTCCTCAACAGATGGCAGTACTGATATGCGGCAGGTACTGGCTTGTTCAGTAGACTCTCCTCTACAGTTCCATTTCAGCGGGAAGCCTTAGCCTTGAGCGGTTGTGTTGTTAAAGTGCCAAGTATGGAACCCTGCGCAGACGGTCAGTCAATGCGACTTAAGCAACGTGCAGTCATTGAATTCTTGACCGCAGAAGGAGTCGCCCCAAAGGAGATTCATCAGAGAATGCAAGCTGTTTATGGGGATTGTGTGGATGTGAGTACTGTGCGTCGTTGGGTGAAAAAGTTTAAAGACGTTGAGGTGGGAACCTCTGACTTGCGTGACAAAGAAAGAATTGGACGTCCTGTGACAGCAGCCACCGAGTTTCACAAGCAAGAGGTTGACAGATTGATTCAGGACGATCGTTGTATCACTCAGAGAGAAATTTCAAGCATAATCGGCATTTCGCAAGAACGTGTGGCTCACATTATTACTTTGCTTGGCTATCAGAAGATCTGTGCACAATGGATTGCGGAAAAACAGAGCATCTAGGACGGCTTCAGAAAACGTGTTCATCGTTGGCAGAAATGTATCCAATTGTCTGGTGATTATGTCGAAAAGTGAATAGTGGTAGTTAAAGAGCACATTCTAAGGATGATTTCTGCATTTGGTTTATTAAAATATTTCCATCCAAACCCAGGCAATACTTTTCATTCAACCCTCGTATATTCTAAACATATATAATAGAGATGTGCAAAACAATCAGAAAAATCGGAAATCACAAGAAATTGGAAGTTTTGTAAGTCAAAGGTCTTTCCAAAGTGTTAGCGTAACAAAGGTGGAGGCATTACTTTTCATTCAACTCTCATACATATATTACACTTTTCTTCTATCTCTCTTCTATCTATGCAGCTATCTATACATAGAATCATAGAATCAAAGAGTTGGAAGAGACCTCATGGGCAATCCAGTACCAAGAAGCAGGAATATTGCATTCAAATCACCCCTATATATTATATTTATCATGTCAGTGCAACCAACTGCACACACACACACATATATCTATATACGTTAAATTAAGTTCTTATTAAATATATTAATATTAAGGATTAATCTTTAATACACATTTGATTTTAATATTATTTTATTAGTAATTTAATGATAATAATTAATATAATAATAAATATAATAATACAACATTATAATATATATAATATATATAATATAATATTATTATAATAAGAATAATATAATATATAATATAATAAGAAGAATAAGATAATACATATAATAAAAGTGAAAGTGTATGTGGCAGAGGTGTCCACTTATACAGCCAACCTCAGGCCTCCGCAAACCAGCCATAGTTCTGAGTGTTGGGAAGCCTCCAAAGGCACTCCCTCCACTGACATTGCAGGTTAGAGTGAGCACTGTAAACATGTAGCCCAAACGCTGCCAGTGTCCTCCCCAAACACCAACCAATGCTTTCATTCGGAGACCATTTCATAAATGCTTTGTTTTTTATCCAGAATGGGCATCCCAGAATTCCTTTCTCTGTGCAAATTTACATGACCCCCACCCACTGCCTTTCCCTCAACCTTTTCCTAGCCTTCCCTGGAGCACACAGCAAACAGGAATTGATCAGCAACTGAACAAGAGGTTTGGTGGGAATTGACCTTGATTTATAGGAGTTGTAGTTCACCTACATCCAGAGAGCACTGTGAACCCAACCAGCAATGGATTTGGACCACACTTGCCAAGGATGTTGGGATTTGCAGTACCTTCACTCACTTCCAAACACCGCTGCGACCCCCACAAATGACAGACCTAAAAACCCCCATGACCAATAATAATAATAATAAACCTTTATTTATATCCTGCTACCATCTCCCGGAGGACTCGGTGCGGCTTAAAAGAGATATAGATTGTATAGAATATATAATTATCATACCACAACAGATATAATACACCACCAGTATATTATATTATTAGTAATATATAAAATACTAGTGGTCCCCTGCCACGTGTTGCTGTGGCCCAGTCTGTTGATCTGGGAAATAAAATAATGAGAAAGTGTTGGTTTCTAATATATATATTTACGCTTGTGAATAAACAGTATTTCTTGCTGTTTGTTTGTCAGTGTTGATGTGGAGAGTGTCTGGTTTGCCCACTCTGGAACATGCAACATATCATTGCCCTTCTTTAAGCGCCCCTTTCAAATCTAAGATACTATACCTGTGTGTGTGAATCCTATCTATCTCTATGGCTGGATGGCTCTTTGTCAGGAGGACTTTGATTATGTTTTCTTGCCTTGATGAGGGGAGTTGGACTGGATGGCCTTAAGTATTTTCTGTTGGTCATGGGGATTCTGTGGGGGAAGTTTGCCCCGATTCTGTTGTTCGTGGGGTTCAGAATGTTCTTTGATTGTAGGTGAACTGTGAATCCCAGTGACTACAACTCCCAAATGCCAAGGTCTATTTCCCCCAAACTCCATCTGTGTTCATATTTGGGCTTATTGAGTGCTTGTGCCAAGTTTGGTCCAGATCCATCATTGTTTGAGTCCACAATGTCTGCATGTGGGTGAACTACAACTCCAAAACTCAAGGTCAATGCCCACCAAAGCCTTCCAGTATTTTCTGTTGGTCGTGGGAGTTCTGTGTGCCACGTTTGGTTCAATCCCATCACTGATGGAGTTCCGAATGCTCTTTGATTGTAGGTGAACTGTGAATCCCAACAACTACAACTCCCAAATGTCAAGGTCTATTTCCTCCAAACTCCATCTGTGTTCATATTTGGGTGTATTGAGTGCTTGTGCCAAGTTTGGTCCAGATCCATCATTGTTTGAGTCCACAGTGCTCTCTGGATGTAGGTGAACTACAACTCCCAAACTCAAGGTCAATGCCCAGCAAAGCCTTCCAGTATTTTCTGTTGGTCGTGGGAGTTCTCTGTGCCAAGTTTGGTTCAATTCCATCATTGATGGAGTTCAGAATGCTCTTTGATTGTAGGTGAAGTATAAATCCCAGCAACTACAACTCCCAAATGTCAAGGTCTATTTCCTCCAAACTCCATCTGTGTTCATATTTAGGCATATGGGATTTTTGTGCCAAGTTTGGTCCAGATCTATCATTGTTTGAGTCCACAGTGCTCTCTGGATGTAGGTGAACTAAAACTCCCAAACTCAAGCTCAATGCCCACCAAACCCTTGATCATGGGTGTTCTGTGTGCCAAGTTGGTTTCAATTTCATTGATGGTGGTTTTCAGAATGCTCTTTTATTGTAGGTGAACTATAAATCCCAGGAACTACAACTCCCAAATGACAAAATCATAACTTTTGGAGTGATGGTCACCCCTTGTGTTGTGAGATGTTTTGTTTCCAAATTTGGTGTGATTTCGGTCATTGGTTCTTTTGTTTTTAAGGCACTCATTATGCACAGAGCATTTATATATATATAGAGAGAGATTAGGATATTAATGTATAATTAATATACTAGGATTATATAATATACTGATATTATAGATGTGTTCCTATACCTCTTCCGTTCTACCCTATTTGCTCATCTTGGGTGAGTTTCCTGCTTTTGCTACTTCTATCTCTCTCTCTCGCCATTGGTCGAAAGGGACGCCACTCCGCCCACTCCATGGCTTTATCCTCTCCTCTTTCCCGCCCTCCGGTTTATCGCTTTCCCATTGGTTGCCCTCGCGCGACGTCCCTCCCCTTTATCCCCACGCCATTGGCCGGCTCCTCTGCTCCTCCAATGGCTTTTGCGCACCGCCTCGTTGATTGGCTCAGACTTTGTCCGCGCCGCCCACTTCGCGGAGAAAGGAGGCGGCTATTGGCCAGAGATTGAGGGAGGAAAAAGAGCATTCGATTGGCTGTCCGCGAGCCCGCCGGCGACGTGGAGTCCAATGGGGCTTCGACTTCTGCGCAGGCGTTTTGAGGAGGGTGGGTAGAAGGGGCTCTACGCCTGCGCAGTGCTGTCTGCACCTGCCTTGTGGCGTGCGCCATAACGGTCGGCTTGGAGCTTTGGGCGGAGGAGGGCCTTTGACTTTGTGTGAGTATACAGTCTATAATCCAGGCATTCTATAATCCTCCCACGCCCAGAAGCACTAACCAGCTTGTTCAGTGGTCAGGAATTCTGGGAGTTGAAGGCCCAAACAGCTAGAGGAGGCCTGATATAAACACATACTTGTATGTATCCATTCATCATATCTATCTTACACTTTTCAGTATTTGTTTTCACTCTCTAACAACACAGAAAACAAACATACCTATGTTTATCAATATACATATTTACACACATGTATTATGTAGTATTATTTATTAATTATTTACTTTATTTGTATACCGCTCTTCTCAGCCCTTAGGCCAGTGTTTCTCAACCTGGGGGTCGTGAGGGGGTGTCAGAGGGGTCACCAAAGACCATCAGAAAACATAGTATTTTCTGTATTGTCGAAGGCTTTCATGGCTGGAATCACTAGGTTCTTGTAGGAACATGAAAGGCACTGCAGACTACTTCAACCAGAGAAGTCAGCCATAGCAGAGCACCTGATGAACCAGCCTGGACACAGCATATTATTTGAGAACACAGAAATGCTGGACCACTCCAACAACCACCATGTCAGGCTACACAGAGAAGCCATTGAAATCCACAAGCATGTGGACAATTTCAACAGAAAGGAAGAAACCATGAAAATGAACAAAATCTGGCTACCAGTATTAAAAAAACTAAAATTACAACAGCAAAACAGCAGAGAGGACAGGCACATCTTAACACCTCTCAACAAAAGATTTCCCCAGGCTCAGCCAGGCCTTCAAATGCTAATGAAGGTGGTCAGTTGAAACATTCACACCTAGCTCCAGCAGACAAGAGTCCTTTGTCCCACCCTGGTCATTCCACAGATATATAAACCCTTTTTCCTATTTCCAACAGGCCTCACTACCTCTGAGGATGCTTGCCATAGATGCAGGCAAAACGTCAGGAGAAATGCCTCTAGAACATGGCCCTATAGCCCAAAAAAACCTACAAGAACCTATAGTATTTTCTGTTGGTCATGGGTTCGGTGTGGGAAGTTTGGTCCAATGCTATCGTTGGTGGGGTTTAGAATGTTATTTCATTGTAGGTGAACTATAAATCCCAGCAACTACAACTCCCAAATGTTAAGATCTATTTTTCTCAAACTCCTCCAGTGTTCACATTTCAGCATATTGACTATTCATGCCAAGTTTGGTCCAGATCCATCATTGTTTGAGTCCACAGTGCTCTCTGGATGTACGTGAACTACAACTCCAAAAAATCAAGGTCAATGCCCACCAAACTCTTCCAGTATTTTCTCTTGGTCAAGTGAGTTCTGTGTGCCAAGTTTGGTTCAATTTCATCGTTGGTGGTGTTCAGAATGCTCTTTGATTGTAGGTGAACTATAAATCCCAGGCACTACAGCTCCCAAATGACAAAATCCATCCCTCAACCCCACCAGTATTCAAATTTGGGCATATTGTGTATTTTGGATTTGAAAATGCACCCTGCATATCAGATATTTACATTACAATTCATAACAGTAGCAAAATTACAATGAAAATGTTATGGTTGGGGGTCACCACAACGTGAGGAACTGTACTAAGGGGTCGCAGCTTTAAAAAGGTTGAGAACCATTGCCTTAGGCGACTCAGAGCGGTTTACAACAGTTTCGATATACACAA